AGATCTTTACACACTAGGCTCACTAATTCATAAAAGTATCACACAACACTACTATGACTGACTGTTAAAATGCTCTTTTTAGGCCTTCTTTAGCTGTACAGCTCCATGGTTGGCTCTTCTAATAGCTGTTATGCACTGTGCAACAGGATATGCTTAATGGCATTGCACATTTGGATGAGAATGGCCCTCACTGTGGATTTTCCAACTCTGGACTGACTGCTCACTGACTTGTAGCACTCTGGTGTTGCAAGCTTCCAAGGCATGATCACCACTTGCTTCTTCATTGTCAATGCAGCTCTCTTTTGGTGTTCATGTGCTGGGATGAGCTCGGCACACAGATCCAGGAATATGGCCTTGTGCATCCGAAAGTTCTGCAGCCACTACTCATCATCCCAAACCTGCATTACGATGCAATCCCACCAGTCAGTGCTCTCTTCTCAGCCCCAGAAGCACCAATCCCCATGAAGATACTCTGTGAATGCCAACAGCAACCCAACATTTTTATCTGCAGCATCCAGCAGCATCTAGTCATCATCATCATCAGATATCTCTTCTTCCTCCTCACACCACCAGTTGCAACACTACTTCTTGAAATTCCACAAAGACAGTAGAATTGTGTGTCTGGTTAAAAAAGTGTATTGGACCTGCCAACAATCCAGCTTTCAGAAATGGAAATATTTTGCTCTCCAGAAGGCTGCTTGTAACAGGTTCCCCAATGTTAAAGTTAGTTCTGGAATTTGATTCCTCTGGGTTTAGTGTGTGTTTATAAGCTTGACAAGCCTAACCTGTTCTTTAACTTCAGTTGGGCATGTGTTAACTGACAAGAATGGTACTTGTCCTGCAAGGTCAGGCTTGTATTGTACAGTAATTGCCTCAAACACCAGAGAGAAAACAAAGTTTAAGAAATCAGTGGGTGGAAAGTTTAACTGCAGATATCTGATTATGATAGGCACTGGCTGTCATTCTGGTAACCAGATCCCCATGTCTCTTCCTGTAACAGAATAGGAGACATTTATTTTTGTATTATACACCAGCTGCATTTTCACTCCATGTGAACATTTGTGACACCGGTTTACAATGAAAGGGTTGTTGTGAAAAAAGATGTTAGGGGAGTGTGACCTGGTGGCTCTGAGCACAGGCCTGGCAACCAGGAACATTTTGGTTCTGACTTGGACACGAAGTCCCTCTATGTTCTAGGGAAAGTCACTTAGGCCATGATCCACAAGGGGACTCAGGGACTGCAATACTGAGTGTCACAACACCTAATTTTTAGGTGCCTAGAAAATCACAGGAACAGCACTGAGATCCACCAAACTTGAGTCAGGCGCCTAGGCACCTATACAAACCGCCTAAGTTAGCCAGTAGGGGATGCAGACAAAAGGGGTGTGTGCTAAGGCCCACCCCTCTCTGAGTTGGGCATCTAAATCCAGATTTCAAAGAGGCACCTTGCTCTGCTTGTGACTCATGAACCTGGTGAAGAGAAGCATTCTGCCACCCAACCAAGTTGTGTGTGGGTCCATCAGCAGCTGCTTAACTCCACATGAAACAGCCATGAGTGTGGGGAAAGAGGCAGTCCCCCTTTGTAACCTTTAGTCCAGGAGTTAGGGTACTCACTCAGGCTATAGAAGACACCACTTCAAGTCCCTTTTCTGCCAGAGTGGGAGAAAAGATTTGAAGGGATTTGCTAGCACTAGGCTATGGAAGATGCTGATGTCGGGGGCATCCCTCAATCTCCCATTGAAACTATTCCACTTTAAATTACTATGAATTGGGACAGAGAAAGAGTTAGAATGACCTCCTCTTTCCAGCTCTTTGTGTGGAACTAGGTGGCCTCCAATGCGCCTACTAGATCAGGCCCTCCATGCAACTTAGGTGGCCAAACATCTATTGTTCCCTTGTGCCTGGATCACTCTGGGGCTAGGCAGGAGCTAAGTGCCCAGGTGCCTAGAATGAGGCAGCAAGTGTGGTTGCTTAGAGGCAGAAATGTAGGCACCTAGGAAACTTTTACTGCAAAAACTTAGGTGCAAAGTAACTTTAGTAGCCCACAGGGTTAAACGGCAGTCATGTGGGACTTTTTTGCATAACAGTTATGCCTAAAAACGGGATTAAGGCACCTAAATACTTTCATGGCTCCCACACTTACTTCTCTGTTCCCGTTTATTCATCTGTAAAATGGGGATAATACCACCTCCCTCACAATAGGGTTGGGAGGTTTAATTGTTTGTAAAAGTGCTTTGAAGATGAAGTCTGCTATGTACTAAGCACAACCACAGACTTTTGATCTGCATGATACAAACACTTTGGAGAAAAAGTCATACTCCAATTGTCTGCCACACTGAAAGGAGTTTTATTTTTAAATGATTTCTCAGATTGGGCGTGGGATCAGATCTTTACAGATTACTGCGATAGCCAGAATTGTCCTTGTGCTTTTTGCACCCAAAAGAACTGCACAGTTGAAACTGAAAGCTAAGTAACTTTTGGATGTTTCTCTCTGCCTTTGGGCTTGTCCAAACGGAAAAGTTTTGCCAGTTATACCAGTATACTTACACTGGCATAATTGAGCCAATATAGTTATACCAGTATACACTCCTATATGCCCAGTTATTCCGGAATAAGACTGGCTTGATTTGATTTAGTTTAAAATCCTTCCTGGCCAACAAAAGCTAAAGCAAAGGCAGCCCTCTGATATTAAACACAAGGGGTTATAGCAGTATAACTAAACTGGTTTATATTCACACCTTACCTTATACTAGCATAACTCTCCCATGTACACAAGCTCTTAGACACAAAGGTCACATGGAAGTTCTAGGCTTTATTCCCTACTCTGGCATGGACTTTTGTGTGAACTTAGACAAATCACACATTTTCTGGGCCTCATCTATTCCATCTGCATATTGTGATACTTGCCTCTCCCACCACATGTGGGCTGGGAAGTTTAACTTACTCAAGTTTGCAAAGTACTTTAAGATCCTCAGGTGGAAAGCACTATACATGTACAAATTATTGCTATACTCAGAGCCCTCCAATTGCCAGTGAACTGGAAAAGAAAAGTTACAGGCTGCATTGTCATCTTCCACAGGGAAAAAAAAAATCTAACCGTCCTTTTTTGTAAAAATCTCCTTTTATTATATTACATAACATCTTATCTGCTTTGCAGCTGATGCTCCATTCCTGCGTCTCTGTTGCAACAACATTTTGCTGTCGTTCTAACCTGGGACTGAAAACACACCACATCATGAAGCATTTAGTACAATAGGACAATTGTAGCCATGGGTTTTGCTCACATACCAGGCATATTCAGCAGGAGTGAAGCAGTTAAGCCTTTGAAGGTAGGTAGCATTATTCATGCAGCCAGCATGGTGCTGGAGATTTTGTTTATTTCATTCAGTGAGGTGGTACAGCTCTGGGAAAGTGCTACCACCATGGTGCACAAGGAAAAATCACAAACCTCAAATTGACTTTCCTTGGCACTGAAGCAAGCCCCTTAATGATTTACTGGCTATTGAAAGCCCAGCTAATCATGTCATTCTAGAGAGACATCTGCTACCAATGTCAGCAAACCCTATGGTTGCTGACATCTGAGGGATGAGACATATGGAGGCAAAGTGCCCATCAAAGGCCCTGCTATGTCCTTCTCTGAGTCAGGTGCAAAGGCAGCCATTGTGTTCCAGGCCGTGTTCCTTTTTCAGCATCAGTAAAGCAGAGCAGAGGTGGCCAAGGTTCACCCAAGGGCCCTGCTGGCAATTGGCCAGGAACAGAAAGGCTGCGCCTACCATGGATGATGTGGGACATGCAGCAGCCCTCATCTTCAGAGGGAAGCACAGCGAACGGAGGCTGCAAACTCTTGAGTTGCCTGGCTGCTCCCGTACAGCGCGGGCATCGTAAGCCTTTGTCTGGAGCAGCCCTGGGCACAGACA